GCCGTATTTGATGCCGTATTTAATACATGTAATTAATTTTTTTTTAATTTTTTTTTATCGCATCAACTTGTGTCATGTTGTCATTGACATGAAAACATGAAAGAATTTTTTTTTTATATGACAGATTTAGTTGGCTGACACCAGACGCAAATAAAAAAAAGCATTTTTTTTTAAATATTTTTTTTAAAACAATGACCTCCTAGCTGTTTTCCTGGTACCTGTTGCTTATTTCGTTATTTTGATTGACTTTAATTTGTCTGAGTGTTTGTTTCTGTTAGTGTAATGAAGATTTGTATTCAGTCGGAGATTTATTTGTTTTTGAATTGTTTGTATGTGTTTGTTTGTATGTGTTTGTTTTATTTGCTAGTATGTTTTTGTTTGCTTGTTTAGTTCGCATGTTAGTTCCTTCTTTCGTGTTGAGATGTTTGATTAACACTTGAATGGTTTCCCTTGAATTATTGTTTATAAAAAGCTAAAAAAGAAAATACATTTTTGTGATTAATGCATTGTTGTGATTAATTTACTAGTAACAATGATTCTGCTTGGTTATGCTGGTGTTGCTTCTCACAGGCATTATATTTTTTTTCTTCATTTTGGGAAGTTGTTTTAAATTAAGATTTCAATTCAGACAACAACGAAACCAGTCCAATTGAGTTAGACTCATTCAATCAATCAATGATCCTCCTTTGTCCATCAGTGGACCGTCGAGGCCGATGGTGTACATCTAAACATGCTTTTTACATATATTTTTTCCCTTTTTCTTTCCAAAAACCTTTTCTATCTTTGGCCAGTTTTATTGAATTCAGAATACCAACACCAGTCTATTCAGTAATGTCATCTATCCATTTATTTGCAGGTCTACCAATTTTTTTCTTGCAATCTCTTTTTTTCATTAGTACCATCTTAATCAATCTGTCTTCTCTCATTCTACAAATGTGTCCAAAAAATCCCAATTTTCTTTCTCTGAATTTGTCATATACACTTTTCTGTCTTCCAAGTTGATTTCTGATGGTTTAATTCTTTACTTTCTGCCTCCAACTGATTCCCAACAAATTTCGGTAACACTTCATCTTAAATGCTTCCAATCTGTCTTTGTTTCTTTTCTTTATTTTTCATGTCTCACATGCATAGAGCAAGCTCAGAAAAACGCAAAATTCTATCATTCTCAACTTTGTTTTTATTTCCACTTTTCCATATTTCCTTCAATGATGCGAACATTCCATGGGCTATTGCTATCCTTCTGTCAATTTCTTAGGTGCAGTTGTTGTCACAGGTTATAAGACTGCCAAGATACACACCGATTTTTATAAAACAATGCCATTGAAAAATCATCTTATCCAAACCAATAGATATAAAACTTTTTAGTACCCATAGATAATGAATGTTTGATCCATAGATATAAGAATTAATGAATTTATGCTGGCAGCCATTCAATCGGGCGTCAAAGAAATAATCTTTATTTATGGATATCATTTCGATGCACTACTGCCAGACTTGTATGAATGACGTAATCAATTTCGTCATCGTAGAATTATTGTTGTTGTTGTTAT